ACGTTCAATTGCACCGATAGAAGAACGTTTGATTTTATAAACCCACTTATTGCCAACCACATTTTTTTTATTTGGGCGAGGAACTAGTGTCCATGTCCTTGTTGTCAACAAGGCATTTATTTCATCAATCATTGCATGTCTTCACTTTGGATGGGGTTTGGCTTGGGAGTATCGGGTTGGTTCGGTGTGTAAGTAATTGGGTTTGAAAGTGTTAAGGGTGGCAGTGTTGGCTTGTCGTCTGCTATGAGTTTTTGGTCATAGAACCATAGAGTGGGTGCGAATAGGGTCATGAACTATGGTATGGTTACCTGCGATGATCATTGGGATAGGATGTAAGATCAACCGCAAGGTTAAGTCCGGAGGAGGAAGGATGAGAGGTAGAAGTCGATCCATTCGGTGGTGCGGAATCACGATGGGAGAGGGATTGATTAGAGGTTATGAAAGATGGGCTAATGTCAAGTTTTAGAGGAACATCTTGGATGGGCCGCATGGTGGGTGGATGGGGGCTAGTAGATTGGGCAATATCATGTGGCGTTGGGGTTGGTGCAGTTGGGTTGCTAGTTGAGTTATGAGGGAATTGAGGTGGGGTGATAGTATGTGTATTAGTAGAAGTATGAGGAGGAGAGGACAAGCCTAAATGGACACATTCAATTGTTCTATATGAGAATTTGTGGTTGTTATATGGTCGAAGTAAACGAGTACACAACACATCCAAAAAATTTTAGGCTTGAGTAAGTAGGAGACTTATTGAACAGTTTGAGGTATGGAGATTGGTTTTAAATGATGGGGCTTGGTAATGAGTTAATCAAGGAAATAGCCGTGTCAAAGGCATAGTTCCAATATTTTAAGGGAATGACAACGATGAGCTAAAAGGGTAAGGCTAGTATCCACAAGATGTCTAATCTTTCATTCGGCTAACCCATTTTGTTCATGTGTGTATGGGCAAGCTATACAATGTATTATGCCAAGTTCTTTAAAGAATTTACTTAGTTTTTGATATTATCCTCCCCAATCAAAATGAAAAGAAAGAATTTTAGCATTGAATTGTCGATGAACATATGTATTAAAATGTTGAAAACTAGATAGAACATCACTTTTATTTTTAAGAAAATATACCCATGTATAACGGGTGAAATCATCTATAAAAAGGAGACAATAACGATGTCCTAAGGAAGAAAGAATTGGGGCGGGGCCCCGGACATCGGAGTGTATAATTTCAAATGGCTTTGTGCTTTTGTGTTCTACTGAAGCCAATGGAATTCGTGCCAATTTGCCAAGGTGGCATGAAAAGTAGCCAATATAGGAGCTAGGTGTGGAGTGTAAGTGATGTTCATTCAATATTTTTCTAATAGTTGAGAGTCGTGGATGACCCATACGTGCATGCCATTGATCAAGAGAGGCCACTTCACCATGATAAGCAAGCTTTGGCACTACAATGTCTTTTCTCGGAGGGTAGAGACCATGCTCACTCGTGCCTTGAAACGAGATTGCCTTGGAAACCCGATCCTTAATAAGAAAATGTGAAGGCCAAAATTCAAAGAAACAATTATTATCGGTTATGAATTCTTAAACAGAGAGAAGGGGTTTGGATATTTGAGGAACATGCATGACATTATTTAATACAAAACTATGATTAGGAGTTTGAAGATAGGAAGTACCGAGTGAAGAATAGGCAAACCTTATCTATTGGCAACACTCAAATGATCATTGCCTTTGTACTCGCGAGCTATACTTAGTGTGGATAAATCATGAGTGATATGGTGAGATGCTCCGGTGTCAAGATGCCATAACCGGGAGGAAGGGCCTTGAGCGAAGAAAGACGCCGGGCATGCTCGGTCGATTCGTTGTTGTGGAACGAGTCCATAGCCGGGATTCATGTATGGAGCAAAGACGAGCACTTGTCCGGAAGAGGCATAAGCCATGTTTGCTCGTGGTGGCCTAGGAGTGCGAGAATGGTAACGTCTTCAACACCAATCAGCGAGTATGATTTCACGGTCCACAAATCGACGGGGTCCCCTCAACCTACGATATCCATGGGAGGCATAATTGGTGTATTTGGAAGGGGGTAAGGAAGGTGGTGTAAGGAGTAGTGGTGGATTGCGCACTCTGCGAGATTAGCTACTTGGACTTTTATAGGAACTTTTCGGTAAAATCTCATGAGCAACTAACCGACCATGCAACTTATGAAAAGGAACTGGATCAAGATGAAGGTTGAGTGCTATTATGATATTGTGATATTCATTGCCAATGTTGCGATAAATAATCGCGTTGAATTCGACGAGTAGTCATTTGACGTCCAGCAGTAGCAAATTCATCGACCAATGACTTGGCTTTATGGAGATAAGCGATGACGGAGAGATCATTTCTTTTCGGTTCTCGTAGTTGAATGTGCAATTGTAATCGGTGATTCCGAGATATAGAGCCAAAGGCACCGGCTAATGCTCGTCCAAACCTCAAAGGAAGAAGTTAGACCAATGACATATGGAAATATGTCCTCGGTGAGAGAAGACAGTAGCCGGGAATGTAACATCCGGTCTTTGTGAAACCGAGGCTTGATAAGTTCGGATTAAGAGAGGTAACCGGTGGTTCGAGTAGTGGAAGTGATTGTTATTGGTGGGGTAGTTAAAGATCCATCAATATAGTCGGTTAAACCTTGATAATTGAGAAGGGGAATAAATTATGCTTTCCATGCGAGGTAGTTGTTGGTGGTGAGTTTGATAGCAAAGGTTTGGTGTGCGAGCTAGAGGAAGATGAGGGTGGAAGAACGAGGAACTAGTTGAGAGGAAGAGTAGGGGATGGTTTCCATGAGAGTTTGATGAGAGTAAAGGAAGACGAGAGAAAGGGAGAAAAAAAAAGGAAGGAAGAATAGAGAAGGATGAAACAATACAAGAGAAATAGCAAAGCAAGAGAGAAGAACGAAGGACAAAGGAAATAATTGAGAGACGAGATAAGAATGAAGGGATCCGTTTAGGCTCTTGATACCATGTTGAATATAAGGCTAAGAGGGTGCATGCTATTATTCACGTATCTTGTTACTATTCATGTATTTATTATGTGTGAGGTTTACGGGAGCTGCAATTTATATACACCTCTACAACTAACCGATAAGTGTTCAATAACTAATGGATATACACCAAGCTATTCTAGTAGGATTCAATAACTAACGGATATACATCAAGCTATTCTAGTAGGAGTAAATAACTATCTTAACACTTTCAATCTCAAGATCAAAAGCTACCGAGTTCACCACTTATTAGTGCGGGTCATGCACTAGCAAGCCTATAACTCAAAAGAATTGAAGAATGCAAAAGAAAAAGACAAATAAAAATTATTAATAAAAAAATCGAAGAGGAAAAAAGAAAAACTAAATAAATAAATAAAATAAAGCTAAATTACAATTCAATCTTAAATCAATTATTAATCTCAATATGGAATTATAATTTTCCACCGACACCAAAATTTATTACATATTATTAGCACACTCAAATAAGCAATAAACCCAATTGAATCGCACAATAAAGAGTAAGAAAGTATCGTTCCCACGTAGAATACTAAGATTGTCTAATTTATAATAAGTTGAATTAATCGAAACAATAAAGAGTATGAAAACTAAATTAAAAATCAATTCTAAATTTGCGAATTGAAATTTACTATCAAGATGATATAAAAGTAGCTATGGATAGATTTATTTAATTATAACAAATGTAATTAAGTAAGTTAACTCAACTCACAAACCAACATACGATCCTATCTTCACATATGTGATGACAGAATTCTCTTAACAAGTTAATGAGTTTTTTCCGATCGAACTAACCCTACCTTTCACTTAACAAATCATCCATATTCCTCTAATATTAGAGGAGTATGCCATCATGCACGTCTCTCTTTCATTATAGCACTAGAACTAATTGTCTTTCGATTTAATAGTAAACAACCGATTTATATACATGTCTTTCTTGAATTCAAACACATGTCATTAAATAAATAAGAGATGATCAATCCCTTATAACATTAAACACAAATAATATAAATTCATCATATATCAAGAATCAAGAATCAAGATTTGAGTTGAGAAAAATAATTAATCACATAGATAAAGAATTAAAATCATTTATCTTTAATTTAAGAGTTTAGCTTCACATTACAAAGTTTTTTAATCTAAAATAGAGAATTTTTGGCAATACATCAGAATAAGAATTGAATTAAAACAACTTCAATTACACTTCCATGAAAAAATGGTTTGCTCTGGTCTCCTTCTATCTCTTCTTTTTCTTTGCTCCTTCCGTCTAAAGTATCTTTCTTTTCTTCAATTTTTTGCCGTTCGAATTGTTCTCTAATTCTTTTAACACCATTATGCCGTCCAAAGTCTCTTCTTTTTATAGCTTATTACTCAAAAAAAAAAAAAAAAAAAAACACTCGAAAAGTCCCCAAGAGTCTCTCCTAAATAAACCCCGAATATCCTCTTTAGAACAGGAAAATCTTGGCTGTTTAACATTTCCAAATCAGCTTATGTTGCGCTTTAATTCTTGTTTATGATTTTTATTTTCTTTTCAGTTCTTGTTTTGGCTCACTCTTTAGTCTTCTCTTCATGTTTTTTATACCTACAAATCCTAAGTGTATCAAAATTAATTTATAACAAAAAAAATAAAAATAAATTACATACATAATTAATAAATTCGAACTCCAAAGCAATATAAAATATAAAAATAATTTCTACCTATCATGCCCGATCCCCAAAAAAAAAACGCCACGAGACCCTACCATCCCTGCACAGCTTCTACGCCCCTTACCCTTTTGTACGCATCACGAGGTGATAATCCTTCATGCCCTGCCACGTTCCTTATCTCTCCCTCCCTGTAATGCCACGCTACTCGCTCTATTTAAGACCCAAAACTAGATCATCATAAGAACGAAAAGGATAAATAAAAAAATACGTTTGCTCTAAGTTACCTCGTCTGCCATCACTCTTCTGTGTGTGTTGCACACGAAATTAGAAAGTCATGGCTGATCAAGCAAGGCCTATGTCGAGATACGAGCCATCACCAGCACAACCAATAACTTCACGCAAGGCAGTGAAGTTTGTGACCGCAGGGGCAGTAGGTGCAGCACTGTTGGTGTTGGCCGGTTTAACTTTGACTGGGACAGTTATAGCCGTGGTTGTGGCTACACCAATTCTAGTGCTGTTTAGTCCAGTTTTAGTCCCAGCAGCGGCAGTTGTTTTCTTGGTGACTTCTGGCTTCTTTTTCTCAGGTGGGTCGGGCTTGGCTGCTATAATGGTATTGCTGTGGATATATAATTACGTGACTGGTGAGCATCCACCTCGTGCTGATAAGCTGGATTATGCTAGAGGGAGGATAGCTGAAACGGCTAAGGATATGAATGATAGAGCTAATGGTCAGCACGTACAACAAAAGGCTCAGCACGCTACTCAAACTCAGACTTCTTAATTAAAATGAATGAGGTGGTCTGTCAGCTTGGGTTAATGGTTTGATGTGATCTGTTTTGGCTTTTGGTGTCTGCTTATTTCTTGTTAGGTAGTGTGTTATGCTTTTGTTGGGTGTTCTGTACTGTCAATTTGCTCATTATGTGGTTTGTCTGGGCTTTTGAAACGCTCTATCCTTCTAATTCATAGCTGATATTTTGGTGTGTTAATAAATCTGACTTCTGTTTGTAATAGCAGGAAATGATCTAGTTTTATCGAAAACGCATGGTGCATTGTGCAGATCTTCCTTCTTTATTTCAATCTTCTGTACAAAAAACGAAAAACCATGTCGGTTGATGGCCTTTTGGCTCTAAAGTAAAGAGAGAGAACCAGTACATTGTATGACCGGTTCTTCAATAATTTGATGATTGGAGACATTCTTTATAAATCATTCCTCTGGATCGCAGTAGACCCGGTATAAAATAAATTACTGACATTCATTAATTATCCCTTTAAAATATCTTAATAAATAATAAATTAAATATAAATAAAATAATATTATTTATTTATATTAATGAATGATTTATTTCTGAATATAAATATTGTTTTATTTTATTAATATTCATCTTTTATCTATTAACATATAAAAGTATTAAAATAAATTTTTTTAAAATAAATAAAAAAAGAAGTAATTTCTTTTATTGATGAATCAAAAGCGTGTCCCCAATGACCCCAACCCCATAGACACACACATATTATTAAACACATATATATTATTAAACAAAATTTTAATTTACCAACGAGTAAATATTAGAAAACCTAATTTTGATGCACATTCATAGTAATACATGAATAAACCTTTATGTGGGCCAAAAATGATGAGATATTTAGAATATGGTTGGCATGATTTATGAAAAGTAATTTTTTATTTTGGATCATAACTAAAAAAAATTGTTTTTTTCATAAACAACTTATGACAAAAATGAATTAAAACTTAAAAAATGACTTTAGATTAAAAGTATAGGTTGCAATTTATAAGTTGAAAGTTAAAAAATTTTACTTTTAATTGAATCAAAATTTGTAGTTAATTTTGTAACAAATTTTAGATTTAAAGTAAAAGTTATTTATAAAGAAACATACTTATGACTGTTTTATATTAAAAAATTAAAAGACAATAATCAATTTACAAAAATCATACTAACATAACTTTATTCAAAATGTCATATATATATATATATATATATATATGCGTGAGCAATGTACAATGAACTGTCCTGTTGCTTTCAAGTACTTGAAAAAATTTTCTGATTTAATAATTTTCTTTCCAAAATTGTTTTCATTTTAAATACACATAACACACACACTCGTACAGCTGCTTGCTGCGGGAGTAGTTATTATTATTTTTTTTTTGAACAGTATTTTCACAAAGATTAAGTTTCGACATTTTTTCGATATACATAAATCACAAAATACAAATATGATTAATTATATAGAAAAATCTTATCATATAAAAAGAGTTTAGAGAAAAAAAGTTTGTAACAAAAAAAATTCAATAAAATAAAAGTCTTCAATTCAGAGAAAAAAAATTAATGGATAAATTGGTACGGATATGTTATGAACATGATATGATATGATAGATATAAACTGAATAAAAAAATAAAAAAATGATTTTAATAGGTAACGATTATATTATTTTTTAATGTGTAGAGCATGGTATTAATTTAATGGACCGGTAACTGACCCATTGCAATCCCTAGATCACACTGAATCGAAAGAATTTGATCAATTCTTTTTTCCATGGTTAAGGTAGAGAACTGAATCAAGAATTCTTCTCTTTCTTCATCATTAATTCTTTTCTCTTGTATTTAAAAAAAAATTATGAAAAAGGTGATATGATTGAGAGGATTGGACTTGGTAAATTTATATTCGAGAATCATTCGCCTCAACTCCGTATAAATCTGTAAGAAATGCAGCCGCTAGTTTCGTCATTTGCTTGAAAAACACCATGAAATAAAACTGCAAGTTGTCGGCATTTTGGGTGACAAAATTCAAAGTAAGAGCACACCAATGGTCTTCAGACATCGCATAACTCCTGGAATGGTGGCTATCATTCCATTCTTTTCTGTACATTTTAAATGCTTAGTCATTTATTGTGGTACTCCAAAGTTAAAATATGGAATAATTTCCTTTATACATCAGTTGGGAAAAAAAATTCCCTGTAAAGCTAACTTGGCTTCACAAAGGAATAATGGAAAAGATGCGATATGCAAAAATTCCAAGCGAAGATGATCGCCGATCTCCAACAAGAAAAAGAATGTAAACCTATATATCATTCAGATTCCTCAAGAGGGTCCGCTTATAGTGCATTACTATTCATGTAAACATACAAAACTACTACGGGAAATGCAAAATAACCAATTACCAACGGACAAGGTAATTTTTTTTTTTTTTTTCCATAAACTAGGAACAACGCTGGCAATTTAAAAATTGTAAGGAAATAAAAAGGATCAGCAAGAAGAAAGATAGGTAGGAAATTGAAAACGCTATTCGGAGAGGGGTTCCAGATATCAGCAGGACTAAATTCCTTGGATCCCCATCTTATGACTGACATAAATGACAATGTTCAAATGCTTCACAAGCTTCAGAAGCATGAGAAGTTACAAAAGTATAGAAGTTGTCATCTAATAGAGGCCTTATATTTCCTGAAAGAAAAGGAGACTAACAGAAGCAAGAATCAATTGCTCAGGAACAGTTTTTTGTTGTTTCCTATCTTCTTTCCATTGCAAAAGCAGGAGAAATTACTGATCACCTTGCAATAGGAGAGAGTGTTGTGAGCATTGTTGCTTTCAACTAGGGGAGGCATACGCCTTGTGAAAAGTTCACCGCATCATCAAATATCTCGGAAAAAGCCTCGCAGATGCATATGAACTCCAATGAAATGAATTGAAATATTCAATAGGACAGTACAAGACGATAGGACAGTACAAGAGGTCATGTTAAACTCCCTACACCGATTAGGATTTACAGGGGAGATAGTCTGCTCAAGCTATTACTGCCCGAATAACAAAATCACCAATCAAGTAAAACTAAACAAGGTCATGCAGGACATGTTAATCTCCTACTTCTATTGGACGAAATACAAGGAAATGAGATGATGCTTTTACATTGAAAGCAGTGAACACACAACTGAAGTCATTCCTAGGAGCTGCTGGTTACCAGAGGAAGCATCCCAAAGATGCCTAAGACCAGACAAACAGTGACCAAATAAACATCCTTGTATCCATATCTATTGCAAAATGCACAATAGAAGTAACGATTCTGAAACATTAATTTCAAGACTCTTTGGAAACACTCTGAGTCAATGTCTCTGGCCTTCTATTCCTCAGCAGTAGATACGATGGAAGAAAATGAGGAATGACGAATGCCAATCCCAAACAGAGCAAGACCAAGATCCCAACCCACCAAGCCTTGTGTGGGATTCCCAATAGCAGTTCATCACAAACTGTCAGACAAAAGACAAAAACAAGAAAATGGAAAAGATAGATGAAAAAGAGTTATTAATCAGTGTAATATGTAGCATGTCTTTATACGGGAAACTTTGAGACAATATGCATTTATGGCTGAAGCAAACGTTCACAGTAGAGACTAGTCATAGATAAATTAGCATAAAAAAGCAGGACTACACATGAATCTTATGCAGTATCTCTAGATGAAACAATTACTGTATGGCAACATTAGGGATTGAGAAACCTAACACCCAACAATTAGTGCTATAGAAAAAAAAAAAAAACACAAATCTCAGGTAACAAATGGGCAACATGTCTGGATAACAACAGAAATATAAAAGGAAACAAGGAAGCAGTGATTGTAAAAAGAGAAGCTTATCAGCATCATATGAGAAGATACTATAACAAAGTAAAAGAAGGCCAATGAATCCCAAGGATAAGAACTTGTCTTAGAAGAAAACTAGTAACTTCAGATGTTCTGCTCCACATATCACTCAAAATTGCTCTTCTTGGAACAAAACGAAAACTGGGGTGAATAACAAATCAACTTTAGATTTTGCTCAGTAGGCTCCTAAAAATTCATACTGCTAAGCTGGTGGCATGAGCAAAATGCTCATAAGCCTGCTTCCTCAAAGTAATACGACAAAAAACAGTTAGCATATAAATAGGAGATAGATACAGAGCAAGAATTCCCAGATTGAAATGATACTTAAAGTGACACTACCATCTCTCCAAATGTAATTGTTGCCTCAAAAATGCCATGGATGAAACTCAAGATTTGGCAAACAAGATAGATCGAAAAGAAAAGAGGAAAAGGAAAAAACAAGAATCCCGATGAACTTAAAAAGGCTTGCAATCACTGATTATAAATGAAGTAACTAACAAATGAGAAACTGGTTGGCTTAACGAAATTCTGAAGCGACAAACAGACAACAATCTCAGGAGTTGTTAACAGATAGTTTAGTTCATTCGATAAGTAAAAGATGCCGGCTTCTATTAAAAGGCAGAGTGAGGTGCAACAAATTCAAATTTCAAAGAGCAAAGACAATACTCAAAATAGAAACTTTATCATTACCCAAATTATATGAATCTAATTTGCATTACCTATATTGAATATAATGTCTTTCCTCTCCTCTACATTTGGTATCGCAACTACCCCCTCTGGCTCCACCCTCAACAAAACATGTAATTTACTCTGCATGAAAACCAAAAAAACTCCTAATCAGATCATGTTAGTCTTAGAAACAAGTAAAATGCATTAAAAACTAGGGAGCCAAGACCAACCTGATTGTAATCAAGAATATCATCAGTCTTGAAAATCAGTTTCTCGGTATTTAACAATCTTCTATTCCGGTTAATCCCCGAGTCTGAATCATCTTTATTCAATTGTATAGTAAAGCTAGCAGGTATCTATAATTACACAAATGGGAAATAAGGACTCACAGTCAGAATCAGAATTATGAAAACAGCCAACAAAAAAAACCATAATAATAAAAGAAATACATACAGAAGCTGGATATGATATCTTCACTTCATACCAAGTATGCGATTTAAGCCCTTGCAGCTCGTAAACTCGAGAACCCATTTGCAAAGGAAGAGTTTCCTTCCACAGTTCCTCCCCAACAATCAAAGCTTTACGGTCTCCTCCATTGCTGAAAGTTGGGCTGCTACTGCTGCTGCTACTGAACCCAACAATGCAGAGCACAAGCAGCAGATGGGAAAGCATAGCAGTAAAACACTGAAGCCAGAAATTTCAACAAGATACAGATTATCAGAGCCGTCGTTGAAGATGGGAAAGATAATCCATTGCAGACACGCGGAAAGGAGCTAAACGGTGCCTTTTTGGAACATAATGACGAAAAAACCAATCTTTATTTCTAAGGTCGGTCTTATATTAGTAAGCCTATAATAGTAAAACCATAGTGCCCAAGGCACTGTATGCTACTAGTAAAAAACGACCAAACGAACCCGCCTAAAAAAATCTGAAGCAAAATCAAGCCGAGAAGAAATCGAAGAATCCAGACCGTAATCGCGGGAACTGAATAATGGTAGGTTAATTTCTTCGACTTCTTTAATGTATTGAACAAGTGATTAACGCTGTTATTGAAATGAAAATTTGGTGCTTTTCAGTTCTCAATTGCAGCTATTAACGATACTGATTCTAAAGAGCAATGGGAACCCTTAGCCCCTACTAAAGAAGCCCAGGCACGTCTCTTTGTCTATTCTTTTACTCTTAAACTGTAATTTATGATTATGATTAAGTAATTAAGTAACATTTCTCTGATTACTATACATTTTGTTACTTTTCTTATTGACTATAATTTACAAATCAATTCTTTTAACCTAATTGTATGCAAATTCGGTGATTTTATTATCTTTAAGTTAGTGTAAATCTGGAAGAGTTTATTTTTCTAATTGGGAGGTTGAATTGTAAATTTTAGGAATTTCATCTTACACAAAATTACCATGATGGTCTGCTTAAATTACAAGCAAAAGAATATGATAAGGCGCGCAAATTATTGGAATCGGTTTTAAAAGATCCCTTGATATCAAATGCTCAGGTATATTTGTTTTTCTTTTCTTTTTTGAAGAGTGATTTTTAAATGTTAGTTTGTTTACCGTGCTTACGTAAATTGTTAATTATGCTGTTTTTATTTGTTATTTTAGGTGCATAGTACTGCAAGCGACGGTCATTTGCTACAACTCAGGTCTTTTTCTTCTTTCTTTATTTTTTTTTGTATTTGCTGTTAATTTGTTTGGAGGTTTATTTGATATGTTATTATTTCTTTTCTTTTTTGCAGATTCTTGGTGCTGAAGAATCTTGCCACTGTTTTTCTTCAGCAAGGTTCTAGTCATTATGAGAGTGCTCTTCGCTGTTACCTTCAAGCTGTAGAGATTGATACCAAAGATTCTGTTGTCTGGAATCAGTTGGGAACATTATCTTGCTCGATGGGTTTGTTGAGTATTTCACGTTGGGCGTTTGAGCAAGGGCTTCTTTGTAGTCCTAATAATTGTAAGTAGTTATCTTGTTGTTTCAATCTTCTATGATTTACCACTTGGCATTTTGGACGAGTCAAACATTCTTATGGTTTACACATTACTGTTTTCAGTAGAAATTTCATCATTTTTTTTTTCCTTTATGGGAACAAGTTTTTGTCTTCTCTAATTGTTATGCATTCAGGGAATTGCATGGAGAAACTATTGGAAGTTCTTATTGCCATTGGTGATGAGGTTGCCTGCCTTTCTGTAGCAGAGTTGATTTTGAGACGTTGGCCTTCACATTCTCGTGCTTTGCATGTCAAAAATACCATTGAAGAGTCGGAGCCAGTTCCATTTGCTCCTAGAGGTATAGATAAGCTGGAACCTAAGCATGTCAGACTTAAATTTCTTGATAAGAGAAAAGCAACTGATGAAAATCTTGATGAGGGTGTTGCATGTAAAAGGGCAAACCAGAACATAGAAGTGCTCCTACCTGAAGTTTCATGGGTAGCTCTCATTGATGCCATTCTGGAAATTTTAATTAAACGCAATGGTTCTGAGATAGCGGGTGAAACAGTATGCAGATCTGGTGATATCAGATTAACTATAAACATGCCTTCAAATTTGGACGTAGTCATGGGGTCTGTGGAAAAGAAAGGGTCAAACTCCATCCCTATTATTCAAAGCATGTCTTTTGGCGATTGTAGCTCTGAAAGACCCAGCAGAGTTAAGGAAAGGGATCCAAATATTATTGATGAACAACCTCATGAGAGGCGGAGCACTCGTCTTAGGAGTCGTAAACCAGGAAAAGAAGAATTTGATTTTGATAGTGGCAAGGATCTGGCCAAAGTTGTAGTTCAGCTTGTAGAACCTTTCATAGTTAGAAATGAGGATTCTGATCATGTGGGTAGTTGTTCTGTTTCATGTCCTGATCAGGCTAATTCATTGGATACGGAACATAACGACGTGTCTGCATTTGTAAGGGAGACTTCTAAAAACTATGGCGCTTACCATATGGGTCACTTGCTTTTAGAACATGGTGCAAGCAGGGGCCTTGTGTATCAAGATTCGTTTGTCAAATTCCTGGAGTTGGAGAGGCTGACAAGACATTGGGGGAAAGATAGGACGCCTGAATGCTGCCTTTTTCTCGCTGAACTGTATCATGACCTTGGATCGTTACCTTCAAATGCTTCAAAGATGTCTGAATATATGTCAGAGGCATCCTATCATCTTTGTAAAATAATTGAATCGGTAGCTTTGGATTATCCTTTTCACTTGACTCATGTATCTGGAAATAAAATTTGCTCTTCGGAAAAGAGTTTCCAAGATGGTAATGAAACATTAACAGAAAGCACCGGAGGCCTGGATTCACTTTTCGACAGCTCCTTATTGCACAACAATAGTTCCTTTTGGGTTCGATATTTCTGGTTGAGTGGGAAATTGTCTCTCTTGGATGGAAACAAGGCAAAAGCTCATGGAGAGTTCTGTATTTCCTTGTCTGTTTTGGCAAAGAAGGATGTAAAGAATGGTGCTCCATCAGTCCATCTTTCACACCTGAAGGTTAATAAAGAGTTAACTGTAGACAGGATTCTCCATGAAATTAATCTATTAAAGCTTGATCTCTTCCTTGAGAAGCCAGTAGGAGAGATGATTGAGAAAGAAAAGTATTCAGAGTGCATAAACTTGCTTGCTCCCCTTTTATTCTCTTCCAAGCATGTTCACCCCGATGCATTGCCATTGTCTGCTGCTGAGAAGAAAGGCGAAGGATTTACGTTCATCGAACTTTCAGCATTAGATACATTAATTAAAGCCTGTGAGAAGGCAAAGCCAATGGAAATTGAGGTATATTTGAAGGGTCACCAACGGAAGCTGGAAATACTCATGGTACTAGCTGGTATGGATGGATATTTACCCTTCCGTCAGAAGTCTGGTTTTAAGGCTTACTATGCTGCTGATATGGTGTCAAAAGAAGATCCAGAGAAGCACTGGAATAACTTGGTGATGGAGGAAGTGAAGGCAATTTCACAATGTGTATCACAATTAAAGAACTGTCTGGGTCCATCTGTTGATTCTGTAAGTCCTTTGGAAAACTGTATTTTTTATGGTTTGTTTATGTCAAAGAACATCATTTTGTTCCATCAGTTCAGTACAAAATTTACATTATATAGATATTTTCCTATACATGATGCAAATGCAGCTTGTGACCATACGATTCTGTTGTTTCGATTATTACCTATTTTTGCCTCTTGCATATTTACCATTCTTTCCATTGCTACCCAATCATGAATTTGTGTATATATTATGCTTGCAGAATGGCAAAATCATTCCCATTGGCAGCATCGGCGATATTCAGTCTTTGTTGCTGGCAGTCATGTGCCATGTTGCAAATTACTTATCTAAGAAGTCTTCTGTGCCAGTGATTACTGATGAAATGGATCAAAAGCAAAGTTGCTGCTTTGTGGACGCAGGCATTGCGTATTGCAAGCTTCAACATCTTGTCCATACCATACCTGTTAAAACCCAAGTAAGTTGTCCTTTTTAATGAAAAATTGATCATTGGATATGAGTCCATCATTAATCATTCTCATTTGTTCTTCTTCTCATAGGTTTTTCTTGAATTTCTTATTTCCAATCTAGGTTGAATTAATTGTTGCAATCCATGACTTACTTGCTGAGTATGGTCTCTGCTGTGCTTGTGGGGATGGCGAATGGGTGGAAGGAACATTTCTTAAATTTGCAATAAAGCATCTCTTGGCATTGGACATGAAACTTAAATCCAATTTAAACTCTTCCAATAGAGAAAAAATTCAACATGATGAGGAACTTCATAGCTCGAACAAAACATCTAAAATTGAGCCAATATCAGATACATTGGATGTGGAGATAGTTGCAGCTGATATCAATGAAATGAGTGCTATAGCAAATGATGGTTTTGGAGGGATTTCTTCCGAAGTTATATCATCTCCTGCAGGCCTAGAGAAAGATAGTGCAGGTATAGAATGCAGAGGGGGTGATGAGGGCAAGAACAAAGGAGACAAACCAATGGAATGTATCAATGAACTTAATGAAGATGAAAGGGAGGAACTTGAGTTACTAATTGATAATGCTTTGGATCAGTGTTTTTTCTGCTTATATGGTCTCAACATTCGATCAGATTCTTCTTATGACGATGACCTAGCCACTCACAAAAATACTAGTCGTGGAGATTATCAGACCAAGGAACAATGTGCTGATGTTTTTCAGTATATACTGCCATGTGCAAAGGCCTCGTCTGTGAGTATCCTTTCTCTCTCTCTCCTCTCATCATTTGTATAAGGTATGTTTTGACTCAGTTGCATGTATATGCATCTCAGAAAACTGGATTGATGAAACTTCGTAGAGTGTTAAGAGCTATACGCAAACACTTTCCTCAACCACCAGAAGAAGTTCTGGCTGGAAACGAAATAGATAAGTTCTTAGACGATCCTGATTTATGTGAAGACAAACTCTCAGATGAGGCTGGATCTGAAGGGTATCTTGAAATGATAACAAAGGTAATATTTCCTGATGCAGGAAGTGTCAAACAGCACAGGGCATTGATGGTCAGGAGGTATTTTCCATACTTGGATAAGCTATAATTTCTTTTTACTGGGGGTTAAATTCATCATCATTTTGATTATTTAAGGATGTGCTAACTTCATGAATAATTTACTTATTCAGCTCCGAGCCATATTTTGAGGTGTATTGCAACTTGTATTATTTCCTAGC